GAGAGAAAAAATCACTTATATTTTGAAGATGTCTTCTGTTATATGATGTTATTTGTGTGTGAGTTTCTGTCAGTCCAATTATACTGCCTTATAGCTAGCAACCAACTGTAATAAGAGAGTTGATGATAGTGTCCTGTTTCCTGAGTGTCGGATTCCTGCACGAAATCAACATTCGTATCCATTGGTGGTGGACAGAAACATTGTTTTTGACTGACGTTATTGAGTCTCTAAAAAAAGAATAATTCTATTTTATTATCCTATCCAGAAACCACAAAAAAAGTTTTTCGTATCAACTGTAATAGTTTCTCATTAGTGTAAAGAGTACATTTGATAGCCTGATTAAAGCTTACCAGTGCCATTTACTGCAATTATTCTGTAACCTGAAACAAAAGCGATTACTTATTTTCATGAATGATATTTACTGTATAAAATATAAAAATGTATAAAACAGACTCAGTGGTAAATAAGTGAATAAGTAAACCACATCCCATATATAAGAAAAAGGAAGCAGAGTTCATGTTAGATTTTTTTATGATTAAAATTTAATTTATTAAGTACTACTACCTAAAAAGATGAAGCATGAGCATACTACCAACATGGTTATAACTTAAATGAGTAAAATGTGTAAATAATTATCTTAAGTTTACATATCTATTACAAAATGACTGCAGTGAAATGGCAAAACCACTTCAGATTTTTTTTTTTTTTTTGTACTTATGGATTACACACACAAGGAGCATTAAATATTTATGTACCTTGCAGGTTTTTCCTTTTCAGATTTCCAGCCATAATTTTTAGTAACTTGAGAAGTTACTGCATTAGAGAGCTCGTCCTTTTTCAGATGTCAAGGATTGCATGAACATAAAAAGTTTGCAATCTGGTGAATCAGTAGTTATTCAGTGTCTGCTAGCAGGAGATAAGCTGGAAATTACAAAAAAAGGTGATTAATTATTGAGATAGATGTAACTGACTAAGAAGAAAATGAATTGGACAGGTGTTCCTATGTCAGGCACCATAGGATGTGCTTAGTATTGCGCAGTGTCTCAACCAGTGTCTCATCTAACACATTGGTCTAGGTTATGGTTTTGCATCTGTTGATATCACCAATGCATAAAATGCCATTCTGAGCTACAGAAAAGCTAAAAGAGGAGTTTTTGAATTAAAAAGTGTCAGTCAAGACTAATTTCTGTTTAAAAATAAAAAATATATATATTTAAATTTGTATGTTTTGGTTGATGTATTCATAATTATTTTTTAAAGTAAATGGAAAAAAGGGACAGCGCAACAATTAATTTTCTTGGTATAACCACCTGGTCCATAAGCTCTGAACAACAGCTATGTTGTAGATATCTTTGTGGAGAATGAAGTGTCGTGAATTGCCCTTTAACATCTTCAACACCGAAGGCCATGAAAACTAATTATGCCATTGCCACCATCTTCTACAGCTTTGAACAGAAAACCATTTCAATCTTATTCCTGCATTTAAACAATGTGATTAATTTAGCCATTCCACTGTCTGCTTTTATTGCTTTTAATATACATTTTAATATTACAAAGCACTAGCTGCATAAGGTTTCTGCTGAGGCCTGTACCATTATCCATTTGTAGGTGCAAATGCCCTAGATGTTTGGAATTTTGACTTGACTGTAAAACATTTTCAGCAAAAGCCTTTTTTTTTTCAATTACCAGATAACCTTGTTGTATAAATTTAGAATTGTGGCATGATCTTTTTGCGACTTTATATGTGCAGTCACATCCCAACATTCCAGTGATCAAACTATGCTACGTCACAGGTAGACTTCCCTGGGGAGGAGGAGGGGGAGACCTGAAATGATACAACCTAGGGCAGACGGAGGTTTCATTGCACATGATGAATGCCTTTTTGTTCAATTTATTTCTCTAATGAAATCTGAATTCTCGTAGAAATATTCTTATTTAAACACTTAAAAGTGTGATAGCAACTTGAAGATATGAGAGAGAGAGAGAGAGAGAGAGAGAGAGAGAGAGAGAGAGAGATGTGAAATAAATTTTGATCGCAGATTCTTAGTCAGTGTTCGAAAACAGTATTATGAGTATATCCCATTTTCTGTCTATCAATCCCAAATCCAAATTTTTTGATTCATGAAAACAACTTCTTAGTCCGTGAGCTTTCATGCTGATTTATACTTAGTCTGGGCTGAAGTACCTACAGTAGATGACTAATGGACACAATTTAGCAGTGTAATGTCATAAGTTTTCTGTCACTTTCTTGTGTCTCCAAATTCCTGCACTGCCTGAATGACATGTAATACTCACTGTTCTTTTCTCTGCCCATTTATAAGCATGCCTACGCAATGAGGCATTTTTATGCCGAGTAGCACAACGAAACGGAACAATGCAATTTGCTGAGGTTGTTCTTTAGGGGTATGGTTCTTTCTTTCCATTTTAAAAATCTAAACAATTTAGTGTTATCAAACAACTACTTATTTTTAACAAAAAAAATCAGAATTATCAAATAAACCTTCCTTTGACTCAACATTTACTTAGCTTTACAGTACTAACTTGCCTTTCATAATCTTCTTTCTTCAAATAAAAATGTATCTTCCAGTTGAGGTTCACCATGTTATATTTAACTGTGTATTAGGGTATTATTACGCAGATTATTGCCGACGGCTAGTTCATTGGGTGCAGTGGGCCCACCAGTCGTTAATTGGGTGATTTAATTTTCTTGTATTATTGATATGATTACATCGCTGTTATACATATGCAGCTAGGTGCTGTTTAACCACTGCCTGTAAGCTATACAATGTTATCTGGGGTCAGACAATATTTAACAAAATTTCTCTTTCAAAACAGACACACTTTGTTTTATTTTATTTATTTATTTATTTATTTATTTATTTATTTATTTATTTATTTATTTATTTATTTTGTTATCTTACCTCTATATTTTGAACATTTTTTTTAGTAATATACTCTGAGCAAAGATGTATTTTATTTGTGAATTGATTAAGAAAGTACAATAGATACCTTCTAAGAAATATATATAACATGGAGTTCAAACATAATGAAATTTACCCAACAGCAGTTTGTGTATTACTTGCAGCTTTTAGTTGTAAAACAGGCTTAGATTGTTTGTAGAATCAGCAGCTGTTATGGTTTTTTAGTTTAAGGAATTTAACTGCCATCCAACATATGCTTAAAGTCGTCCAGGTAGTTTAAAGAATAACTTTCATTTCTTATTAAATGGCAGGAATTTGTAAAATGTCAGTTTAACCTTTTCACCGTGGAGGGCCGTTTTGATGCCAGGTGCAAACAGAGGACTACATACCTGGCTAGGTATAGGGCCTCCCAAAGGTATTTGACACTTAGAGATAGTCACGTGTGCCACTTGCTGATAATTTATGACTCATGTGAGGGAAACGGTTTTATGTAATATATGGTTTTAAATGTAAGACTAAATGATATAAAATACCATTATTGTTGAGACCAGGAATATTTATGTGCACCATTAAAAATGTGAAAGATGAGTTATGGTGCTCAAAAAATGACCAAACTAACCTAGTAAACAGTTTGTTTCAGTCCGTCACATGATCTTGTTTTACAGAAAATTTTCTAGAATATTTCATGAGATAAGGACGCGTTTTCTTTTGCTAAAATTAATCCTGGTTGTGCACGTGGTAGCTTAAGATAGTATTAAGATAGCTTTGTAGCACCCTGTACTAAGTAGGACCAGGTGCATTTTCAAAACTACATATTGACTGCTTTGTCATTATTTCTGCCTTTCTCAAGTTCGCTGGTTTTGTGAATTGACAAAGTGGCCTTTTCTGCTCATTGTCAAAAGCCAATGTTTCCGCAAACCATTTGCTACAGATTAACACTGAGACCACCTAAGTGTGCCATAGCTTCATGCTAAATTAGGAAAATAGGGCCCACAATTCAAAAGTCAGAAGGTTGAGGTGTGAAAAAAGGAGGTGCGCTTTGTGTGGCTATTGTCGCAGATGTTCGATAGAGCAATGACAACAAACATTGATTTTCTTCTGCTCAGTTTGCACTTTTAATCCCCCTTCAGATAATGACTGGAATGGGCTCGTTGTTATTCCCCAACATGTCAGGCGTGTGGTAACTGTACATAATAGAGCTGACACCTGTATGAAGTGAGGCAGGGGGGGTAAGGATAGCAAGGCCCTATGGACACATCATAGCACGCTGTGGAACTTTAATGGAGACGTAGGACACAGGAGACTGTAGTTTATCCAGAAACTGTTTCTTTTGAAAAGAGAACAAAACTATTAGAAAGTGTTGGTAGCATCCAGTGGGAATTGTACCCAAATAGTTATGATGGAAAAATAGACGCGACTCTTCTGTATAACGACAGACTTAAGCAACAGGGCAAATGAAGGGGGAAGTCTGAGGTTGACCCTCTGTGTCCTTAATCCAACTGACTGAAAAATAGACATCTGCCTGGGATAATAAACTCTATATAACCTTCTACCTGAATCAGGTAAGTGAGTATCCATGGAAACAGTCGGTCTTTTGCACTCGAATTTTTTTCTGCTTAAAGGAAATGAGGAAAGTATATTTTATTTTGAATTTTGCATCTTACATTTTATGTTTAAAATTGGTTCTTGTTTTTTAGAAATTTATGAAAATTTCAAGATTGGCTAAAACTTTTAGAATGTGAAACAATGGGAGCAGAGGTTTGCCATAATGGTATATATAGGTCGGGTAGAAAGAAAATGTAGTGATTTTTGCTTCTGATTAAGCTTATTGTGATGTCGCTATGCTGGTTAAAATACCAGTATTGTTAAATCCAGAGTGTCTGTTTGAATTATTTAATAGCAATAGTTCATAAGTTCAAATATTTCATGACTGCCCCTGATTGTGCGGGTGTTATTTGTGGTCTCATGAATTTTAGGATTAACCAAGTTACTGTAAATGGTATGAACTTTATAGTCACAAATGCATGCGCATGCACACACAACACACATATACACTTGCGCAAGTATACATACACTTACCTCATGCATACCTGATATGTAATTTTGTCAAATATGTCCATGCTAAGTGTGGAGAAGTTCTGTTATAAGTTGAACCATTTCTGGAAAAAATAAAGGGATAGGATACAAAAGGTATTTATAATGTAACCAGACTTCTTAATTAAAAGCAGAAAGTTTGACTTTTTTCAGAAAGAAAAGGGGAATATATGCTGCAGGCAGAATTTTTTTACCACAAGAAAGTTTACAATAAAATTAACTGAAAGCACCCTCATGATGAATATAGGATCTACAGAGAGACGTAACTGCAAAAACTTAGACAAATTTGAACATCTGAGTAGAAAAATAAGAAAAAAAAATAGAAAAACATTAAAAATTGTGCACTGTGAAATTTTCAGATACTCCTTAATGAATCAAAGCCAGTCATTCGATCACAACACCACAATCACAAATAGGCCATTAAATAAGTAAAAGCTTAGATGGATGTTGTTTGCCACAGGTAAAAGCAGGAATTGAGTATTGACACAATTTAATTGAACTGTTTGCTCGTCACCCGGCACAGTATCAAGTCTGCATTCGACTGATACATAACACATACCAAAATATGTATTAAAAGAGCCCCCTATGCCCTTGGGTAAATGAGATTCTATCAGTTTTCAAATTGAAAAAAAAAGTGTTGAATTGGTTAATTTTTTTCCTCATATTATTTATCACCATTGTTTGGGGTCCTGTATTGTGTTCTGTGTTACTTGCCAAAGTATGTTCTTTAACCCTTGTGTGTTATTGGACTCGAAATAACCTGGATTCACGGTAAAGATGTGTGTACTACCACCCAGAGAGCGGGGTCCTTTTCTTATGGAATCTTGTAAATAGTAACAAGCTGATTTAATATCATGGGACATCGGGCAAATAGTTGTTGTTTGCATTTTCATTGTTAAACACACAAAGGAAAAGAAAAGTAGTGAAACAGTTGTCATGAAGAAGTAATATGATGAATTTGAGGCAAACATTTTTTTTTTTTTTTTTTTTTTGTAAGAAAAATCTCAACTTCAACAAGTTCAAGTAATCATAACAATTGATGCTTCCCTTCCTGACCAGTAACAGTAAGGATTTATCTGAATGACATCCATCTTTTATCTATGAATCTATCTACATGCCTGCCAATAATAACAGTGTCTTTAATGTATTTATGGAGTACGGACCCCCTACTTTTAGACTGCACTCATGGATCAGATAAAACTGACATTTATTTATTGCCAGTATAGTGAACAGCAAAATGGGAAGCCACATTTTGTTGAACATTTTTGTTTGTCATCTGCAGTCTGCATCATTATTATTATTTTACAAGGATGTGTGACGAGAAGTCAGGTGTTTGGAAGGTGTCATGATTGAGCACATTGAGAACAGATGATACACGGACTAACTGATCCCAGACTAAATATTGCCCACCCCACTTAGGAACACCGCTTTATCCCCTGATGGTCTCCCCCCCCCCCAATCCACCCACCACCCACCCCCCGTCCACACATGCCATTAAATGGATTAAATCTCAGCCCCAAGGTTTAATTGCAAGGCCCCTGCAGTGACCGGCCATGTAGAGGTGGGCAGACCATCAGGGAATTGGTCGGCACTACTTATAAGTGGAGTAAATTCAGTTTCATCTTACTTGGACTGCTCTACTAGTATGTTTTAACAGATGAGGTGATTTCATGAGATCAGCTGCAACAGTGGAGTGTTTCTCCCTCTTTTTATTTCTTCTTTGAAAATTGATAAAAAGTCATGCTTCTGTATTTGTTATCAAGAAGCAATAATAATTATTCACAATAATATATTTACAATGTAGAAATTACGAAAGTGAAGAATATTGGAAATAACCTAATTTTATGAAATGCATATAAATATATATACATGTAAATTAAAATTAAATTCATGCTTTAGTCCAATTTGTCATATTTGGCGTTAAAGATAAGACCTGTCATTTAATGTGTGCTAGCTATAGGAGTCTCTGAATCATTATTACACTAACTTACCTTCTGAAATACAAGTCCTAAATTAAATTCAAATACTTGGAAGACTTGCTTGGTAATATCCTGGTATAAATTGATACATTTGGCAGCCACTTGCGATCGAACAAAAAACAACTGTTGATTTGTGAGTTGTCATTGGATTATATGCTGCTAGTCTGTCTGGTGAATCATTGTCACGCTAACTAGATAAGGGACATGCTGGCAGTTGTCAATGATACAGTTTTATCTCTATGCCTCCATCATATATTTATATGTGTGTTCAGAGTTGGCAGACTGCTAGTTGGAAACTCAAGAACACAGCTTGGACATGTCTTCAAGTCCATGATTATTGCTGGATTGTTGGTAGACTTAATGATAGTGCAAACAGGTTCCATTTACAGTTTAGATGATACTACTCTGTGCATTAATTGGGGGTGATAATTGTCGTATTCGTTAAAATTGCTAATTACTCGGTGCAGATACATATGCTAAAATCACTAGGTTGGAGGAGACACAGACAGAAGTAGTACCTGTGAGGGTGGCAGTACCCAGCTCTTAGTACATGCACCTCCAATTCCTGGACTGACTTAGGAATGCCAAGTATATATGAATATTTGAAAATCCACGAATTTCACCATTGCAGTATTTGTGTTGAATCATTACCTGTTGATGTTCTGGAATAGTACATAGAACTGTCATTGGAATCATTCAAGGCACAGGTTGTGATAAGGGTTATCAGTGGACCTAATGAGACTGTAGGAATTTATCCAGTGGTAGTTTTTGTTGGAGGACATCATAGGCGAGATGTTGCTGTGTTGTGGTAGTAGTAGGAGGACAGAGGTGGATCCAGATAACCTGCCATGTAAGTCAGAAGAAAGGTTTTTCAGTGTGTGTGTGAGAGAGAGAGAGAGATTCTTATGATGGAAATTTGTCTTTTTAACTCTTTTCTTTGATTTTTGTTTGTGATATATATATATATATATATATATATATATATATATATATATATATATATATGAAATTATTTAAGAAAGTGGAGTGTTTAACCAGTCACTTCATAATTCTGTGTACAGGGGTGGATCCAGAGATATTTTTTGAGTCTTTCAAATTATTTTTGTTGATCCATCTTCCATTTTTGACCATTTTCTGACAGAAAAAAATAAGATACCCATCAGTGTAAACTCAAAAATTCTGATTTGCCCACAGTTATTTTAACAGTCACTTATTTACAAACAAGTGCATTTAGATATGAATCTTTATTTTAAGTTAATGGGTGAAATACATGATAAGTTTACTTACTAACTTTCCTAATGCTGTCACGGATGAGTAACTTAAATACAATATTAACATTATAATGTTTAAATACTATTTCATGGTTGACAGCAGTCATGTTATTCTGAATGTTGTATTTTTATGTGACCATGTGTTTATCTTGGTGTATAACATACCCTGGGAGTATGTGGCAGCTGCTGTACCTCTTACTAATGTAATTATCTCAACAAATTCCTGAGATAATGATAGATATGTTACTGATGAATATTTAATCTTTCTTCATCATTGGAATTAAGAGACAAATGCTTTCTCACTCCTGGGGGTGAACTCCTGTACTTATCAATGTGCTATCTTAATTGTAATGTCTCACAGAATGCTAATGATTATATTTAACATCAAGGAAAGTCTAACTGATCTTCATATGGAGATGTTTGAGGAGAGATTTTAAGACAAAAAATAATGAATGTGAAAGTCACAGTCGCTTTTTAGTCACACACACACACACACACACACACACACACACACACACACACACACACACAGTATTTTATGGGTTCAATCAATTTTAGTGGGGCCCCAGTGTAGAGTTTCCCATTGTGTGACGCTGTGTGATGTGACTGGAGAAATAATGAATGAATGATGTAATTGCGGTGTTTACAGAGCCCGTCAGCGAGCTGTCACGGCAGGGAAATCTATACTTGCACTACATGGCATTTGCCTGACGGGTGCGGATCTTGTGCTACATTATGTCACAACAGAGAAAAACATTTTCTTTATACTGTATGCTCTATGAAATTGGATAGTCTGGCCGTATATATATGATTGGTATAATGGTCCTGTTATTGCATGTGAAAATTGGGAAGTATTAAAATTTAATGACACACCTGCGATTTGTTACCTGTCTTTGGAGTAATCATTGTGAAATATTGTCAAAGAGTTTAATAGAAGCTTTTCTTTGGTGACAACTGAGAAAACCTAAAATGGTTTAGGTAGATATTTAACAAGATGCCACCAGCTCTGCTTCCTTAATTTTCTCCCTCTGCAGTTTTATTTTTGGTATCTGGAATTTTCTAAATATCATTAAAGGGCATTGTGATTTACCAGAAACAGGACAATAAAAATCAACCAATCAATCTTTATAGGTTTTAGCACATTTCTTACAGAAACTGTTGCCAAACAACACATACTAATCAGTTATGAACTGTTTCCATGGAAATCAGTTGAGGTGGGCCATGCTAAAAAGAAGTGCTGACATATTCCTTATGTGAATGCAACTTACGATGGCTCTTATTATAATCATGGAGACAGCACGTGTGAGTGTCAAGATTTGTGAAGTATTCACCTTAATGAGGCCAAATCCTTGTTAATGACCATATTCTGTGAGGATATTTGACAACATTTGGTGAATCTTGCTCTGGATGAAATGATTGCTATTTTATTTACTTTTAGAAAATGTCAAGTACCGATGTCTGTCGTTGTTTTTTTAATATGTTGAAATGATACATTATTATCACAAAGTGTGGAAATAAACCTGAACTAGGCCTTTTTTTATATCAAATAACATAGGATACTGGAGACGTTTACTATTATACAAGGAAATAAGCTGTCAGCTATATTCATATGGAATTTCTTAATTTTTTTTAAATAAATAAATAAATAATAAAAAAAACATTGTTCTCCTCCTTTGTCCCACTGTCACATGGGAAATAAGAAGGAGAACATAATTTATTAGATTGGTCTGGTCAAGAAATGCATGACCAATAGAGGAAATATTGGCCATGACTAACTACTGCCACAGCTGCATGTGTTTGGCTTTTATCCCTTGTCCATTCATTAGTGATATAGGTTTAAATATTACATTATTTTTATATCTAATAGGTAGTTTCCCAACTGGGGAAATCTTAGGACATAAATTTCAGGCTGGAGTCTCAGCCAAGCCTATATTGGTCCAAACAGTACAGTAATAGTATTGTTAAAGACAACACATCTTCTCATTAGGGTATAATGATTCTTTTGAAGTATCACTTGCTAGAGAGTAGAGGAGTTCGATTTTGTGGCTTAAATCCAAATCCTAAATTAGCCATGCTGTATGAAGAGCATCATTTATCTTTACCTTAGTGCAACAGCTGCAGTAAATTTATACATACACCTTCATGGAGTTTTTTTCTGAAGATCAACAAAACCACAAATATTTGCTGTTCGAAAAACTGGTTACAGTTGTGAAGCAAGACTGGCCTTCTCTTAAAAGCACTCACATCTTTTTCAAGCACCTGAGCCAATCAATGCCTATTTGAGCTCCTCTAATCTGTGTTTGCTTTAAGACACTAGTGATTATCCAACATTTGTGAAGGTGGTTTTGAGATACTGACCACACCACAGATTGATGAAAAGTTGACCACTAAAAACTTGTCCTGGGACTTGAAGCCAGTAAAAGGTGACGTGCTCTGATGAGGTGAAGGCTCTCATCCTGTAAGTACTTCTTAATGCAAATAGTGTAGTGATTATAGCTCTACAGTTGAGCATGTGTGTTTTCTAAGCTTCTTAGATTTTGTGAGTGTTTATTTCCAGGAGTGACAAGTGGCATAACACAATATATCAGAGCACAGAATAAACATTTTATAATATTGTGATTTCGTTTTTAAAGTTTACATTTTTAATGTCAAGCTGTGTGAAAAATAAAACCAAAACAGAAGTGCAGTCAAAATTGAGATAAAGCCATGATCAATTTTAAATTTTGGATTACTCTCTGGCTCTCATATTTGGATCACTTTGGAGATAAAATCCAAATACCAGTAGACAAATGATCAATTAGATTTTTCTGTTAGACTTTCTAATCCTCTCCACCATTTGACACTGATAAAGATTATCCAGTCTTAATATTGTCAATGTGACAAGTCATTGCTGTTCATTTTACTGTGATTATGTCCTGATAATGATCATTCTTTTCAAGACTGCCACATGGCTGTGTTATTCCACAGAGTACCAGGTTGTCACTGAAAACAAAATAAGCTGCTTTAAGACCTAGAAATATATATATATATAATACCTTGAAGTTAAATCTCTGATGTATCTGATAGTAAATAGCAAGTACTGGTTTGGTGTAGGCCTCATTGAGGCAGTGAACTGAAGAAGTTTGCACTTAATTTGAAGGACTTCTGTAAGATTTGTTTTGCTGGAAATTTACTCTTTTCTCACTTGTGTTCATATATTTGGTTGCACATCAGTTTCTTTTGGTATATATACCTTTGGAAGGTGCACCATGCCACACGCTAAAACTTGCAGAAGGAGGCTAGGGTTTTGTGACTTAGGTAAGTACACAGCTTTGATACTTTTCATTATTGAAAGACCAAAAATTATTATCATCTTTAAAAGAAGATCAATAAGGTCAAAGTGGATAAAAATTTCAGTAAACATATTTTCAGAATTCACACCTTAGTCTGCATGTAACATTATAGATGTAATAAATGTTATTACATTAACCTTACATCAGGTGAACTGGACTCATTTTCATCAAATACTGCTTTGGTAAAGTTTGAGTTTGTGATTGAGTACCCAGTAGGCTAGCTAGAAGTTTATACACCCCTATTGTTAATTCTTGCCGAGATTGTAACCACGAATGAATTTCAAATTGATTTCAATAATTTCTTTTGATGTAAATGGAAGGAAATAGAAGGAAGAATCAAAAATCAATATCAGTTGTACATATTGTCGTTTTCATAAAAGGCTGTTACATAAAAAGGGTGCTGCACAAGATGGGATTGAGATTGCTTAACATGTTTGATGGATCTTTCCTGTCAGTTGCTGTATAAACAATGACTTCTATTTTTGTACTTTTTGTAACAGTTTTAGCTCACCATTCATTTTCATGATTGCATTTGCAGTCTTTGACA